AGGCAAAAAGGAAGGAAGGGAGGGAGGGAAGGAAGAAGGTGAAAAGGAAGAGGGGGGAAGGAAGGGAAAAGAGAAAAGGAAAAGAAAAGGGAAGGAAGGAAAAAGGTGAAAAGGAAGAGAGAGGGAGGGAAGGAAGAAGGTGAAAAGGAAGAGGGGAAAGGAAGGAAGGGGGAAGGAAGGAAAGAAAGGAAGGGAAAAGAAAAAAGGAAGGAAAAGAAAAGGGAAGGAAGGAAGGAAGAAGGTGAAAAGGAAGAGAGGGAGGGAAGGAAGGAAAGAAGGAAGGAAGGAAGGAGAAAAGGAAGGGAGGGAGGAAGGGAAGGAAGGAGCTATGCTGGCTGGAGAATTCTGGGAGTTGAAGTCCACAAGTCTTAAAAGTTGCCAGGTTTGGAGACCCCCCTGGTCTAGAGCAACTTGCCCGGCCAAGTTGGGCAAATTCAGGCAGATCTTGGTCCTCCAAGGAAAACCTTTCCCATCCTCCACAGCGCCAAACTGGATCGCGACGCTGACAGTAGGACAGGCTGGAGCCCATGCCACATATTACCACAAAGCCAGTGACCAGGTGAGTGGCTTTTGGGAGGCGACGCGCAGAATAAGGCGGAGTCCCGCTCTTTAAAGCAGCTGCGTCCTTCTCCCCTGGGGATTGCAGAATGGAACGATCTCAGGATAAGGTGCAGCTTGCTTTTAAAAGAGCTGTAGGAAGGGCGGGGCAGATAGCGTACAAAAAAGGAGGAAAAAGTGGTCAATTAAATGTGATGTTTGGCACTCTGGTGTCCTAATCAATCCATTTCCTAGTACAGATTCATCTGTAAGAGCTGTGGTGGCGCAGTAGTTCGAGTGCAGTACTTCAGGCTAACTCTGCTGACTGCCAACAGTTCGATTTTCACCGGCTCAGGGTTAACTCAGCCTTCCAGCCCTCCGAAGTCGGTCAAATGAGGACCCAGATTGTTGGGGGCAGTTAGGCCGACTCTCTAAACCACTTAGAGAGGGCCGTAAAAGCCCCGTGCAGCAGTATATATATATAAATCTAAGGGCTGTTGCTATTGCTTGTAACAGCTACACTGGGGATGGGATTTGAACCACGTGGTCAAGATTTGAAATCTGGTTGTGTGTCCCCTGGTTTATACAATGTTAAAAATGCCCTTTAAAATGCTCAGAAATACTTCTGAGCTACTATTTCACGAGTCCTTCCCCATTTCCCCTATCCTAACCCTGCCTGTCGGCTTTTGGGAGCATCCAGCTTTCTATGATGGCCATTGACCGGCTGGATTAGATTGGCTGATCTAGAAATGGACTCCCTTCTACGATTTTCTCCATTTCTCTCTTCTTTCTCTCCCTGCCCCCATTGCTTTAAATCAAGGGTCTTCAGACTCGGCAAGTTTTAAGACTTGTGGGCTTTTAACTCCCAGAATTCCTCCTCCAGTCATGTTAGCTCAGGAATTCTGGGAGTTGAAGTCCACAAGTCTTAAAGCTGTCAAGTTTGAAGACCTCTGATCTACAGTATCTATCTTCTATTTCCATGTCTGTCTGTCTGTCTGTCTGTCTAATCCAAGGGTCTTTAAACTTGGCAACTTTAAGACTTGTGGACTTCAACTCCCAGAATTCCTGAGCTAATATGACTGGAAGAGGAATTCTGGGAGTTGAAGTCCGCAAGTCTTAAAGCTGTCAAATTTGAAGACCCCTGCTTTAAACAAATAGAGAAAACAATAGAGAATATGATATGATTAGATTAGATTAAATTAGATTAGATTAGATTATTGGCCAAGGGTGATTGGACTCAAAAGGAATCCCGTCCCCGGTGCAGAAGCTCCACAATCTACATACAAGCAACAAGTGATTAAATTATGATCCTAATCATAAAATACAACCCTCATAAACCATAAAATGCGACACTCGGGGATAGTCGTAGGATGCCAAACTTGCAATCAACATAAATCCTAATAGGATACTAAATAAAAACAATCAACGTGAACCATAATACAACCAAGTCATGAGAAGCTAAGGAAAGAGGTACTAAGAAAGATGAGAAGTGTAATAGTAATACAGCCCTACTAGGTGGTTTGACATCCCAGGGCATCAGACAGTGTGGTGGGAATTAGTTGTTTAGCAGAGTGATGGCACCGGGGGCGGGGCGGGGGGTGGAATTGTCCTTGTGTGTAGTTGTTTTGGCATGCAGTGCCCTATAGCGGGGGTGTCAGACTGGATTTCCTTGAGGGCCACATTAGGGTTGTGTTTGATATTGGGGGGGGGGGCGGGGGGGCGTGGCCAGCTTGACGTCACTCGTGTCGGGGCGCCCATGGTGGTTTGAGCCCTCGGACAGCCCATACGGGCTCCCAAGCTCCATTTCAGCTGCAATGGCCTCCTGCAACCCCTCTGCCAGCGAAAACAGAGTTCGAGAGGGCCACGGGTGGCACGCCCAAGCTCCGTGTCGGGACTCCGACAGATCCACCCCCATTCCAATCATAGGTCTCTAGCCGCATCTCTCAGAGAAAATAAAATTGGATTTATTAGGCGTGGCCATGTTGGCGTTATCTGGGTGCAGACGACACTAAAATACATCATTCATTTCCCCCTTGACCCTGGTCTTCCCCCCCACCCCCTGCCTGGATGTATATTCTCCAATGGGACACCTCCATAGCCAAGAGTCATCAATCATGCTCTCCAGTAATAATCTTGCGTGCCAACAGCTTTGCCTGCCTAGCAATTATCTGAGGCATTTAAGGAATGCACTGCTTTCCCCACCCCCACTCCCTTTCTGCTGGCAGCTAAAAAGATCAAAGAAGTATCTTTTTAGTTGACATTCCGTTTTCATTGGCAGAGACATTGCGAGCTGGTCCTTCACTGTGTCCAGGGCGGGCCAGATCTAAGCACCCCGCGAGCCTTGAGTTTGACACTCCCACCCTATCGTATCGTGGTTTCCCTTCCTTCCAGGGCTCTGATAACCTGTAATTGAAACTCACCAGGCCTGAGGCCCGGAAAGGGACGCAGAGGGTGTATTTGGGGGGTTGGATGGGGCAGGGCTGCAGTGGGGCCCAAGCCCCACGGATGGACCTGGCTCTCATGTCTTCTCCGCGGTCCGGCTTTCCAGTTGCAGGTGGGTGTGGAATTCGAAGCCAGCAGCCGCATGCAAGACACCAGCGCAACCTTTGGATACCAGCTGGATCTCCCCAAAGCCAACCTCCTTTTCAGAGGTATGGAACTGGGTGGGGTGGGTTTATCTGGGCGGGGGGTGTGCGTGTTTTGTTCCTTCAGTGAAACGAAACACAACGATGACTGCAGGCAGTCCTCGGCTTACGACCGTTTGTTTTGTGGCTGTTCCAAGTTAACGACGGCCCTGGCCGAAAGGACTTTTACCACCCAGTCCTTGGGCTTAGGATGGCCGCGGTTCACATGATCACAATCCGGGCAACCGGCTCGCTTTTAACAACGGTCAGGCTGGGCTATTTGAGGGAGGGGAGACCCTTAAAAGAAACTCCCACACCCAGCGCACATTTGTCTGTCTGTCTGTCTGTTCATCCATCCCTCTATCTCTGTCTTTCTATCTGCCCATCTCCCCATTCATCCATTTATCTCTTCCTGTTTTTCCATCTCTATCTGTCTCCTATCTGACTATCCATTCATGCATCCAGTCAGCCATCCCTGTCTGTCCGTCCGTCCATCCATCTATTTATCCTCCTGTCTGTTTTTCTATCTGTCTGTCTGTCTCTCTCTCTCTCTCTCTCTCTCTCCCTCTCTCCCTCTCTCTCTGCCTAGCCATTGATCCGATTCCTCTCTCTCCTCCAGGCTCCATCGACAGCAACTGGATCGTGGGGGCGGTCTTGGAAAAGAAGCTGATTCCGCTGCCCCTCACGCTAGCTATGGGCGCCTTCCTGAATCACCGCAAGAACAAATTCCAGTGCGGCTTTGGCCTGACCATTGGTTAAACTGCCCTTCTCCTTCTCCCTCCTCTTCCTCCTCCTCCTCCTCCTCCTCTTCTTCAGTGCAGTGCGTGGCCCCGTTTTCCTCCCGCCCCGCATCCTTGTCTGGCCAGAGGTAGCTGTTGGGGGTGGGGTGGGGGGAGCAGGAAGGATGCCTTCCGCCTCCCACCCGTAAGGAGGGGTTGGCGGTTCTCGGAGGAACTGGAGGATGGGAAGGGGGGGAGGCTTTGGCCTAATATACGGTTCACAAGATTCCCCCCCCCGGGCAACGCTTTGCCACCTCCTGCCACCAGGGGGTGCTCTAGCCTCGGGAATGGGGGAAAGGCGTCCTTTCCCAAGGATGCCAGGGGGCTGAGGGGAGCTCGCCCCCCCCTCCTCCTCCCACCCATCAACCTGCCCCCCCCTCCCCCCATTTCCCATTTCCTCCCGTTTTATTTCCCCCTCCATCCATCCATCCAGGAAGGAGAGAGAGCCAAACTTTTGACGGTTTTCCAAAGAGAAAAATCCATAGGACCTGCATTTTGGGGTTTTTTTTTTTTTAAACTTCCGTTCCCACTCTACCAAACTTTCCCTTGTTTTAGTTTACGGGGGGGATGTGGGGTTTTTTTGGGGGTGGGTGGGTTCTCGCTTCCCTCATGGCTTTGCCAAAAGATTAGCGCCAATCGTGGTTTTGTCCGGCCTGTTTTGGGGGGGCGCCCGGTTGCACCCTCCTTCCCTCTCTTCCTGTTGGGTTTGCCAAAAGGTAAAATGGCAATTGTGGTTTTATCAGGCCTGTTTTGGGGGCACCCTTCCTTCCTTCCTTCCTTTCCTCCCTTCTTCCCTCCCTCCCTCCCTTCCTTCCTTGCCTCTTCAAAATCCTCCCTCCTTCCCTCCTTTCTTTTGGGTTTACCAAAAGGTAAACGGCAATCGTGGATTTTATCAGGCCTGTTTTGGTGCCTGCCTTCCTCCCTTCCTTCCTTCCTTCCTTCCTTCCTTCCTTCCTAAGCCAAGATTTCCTCCCTCCTTCCTTTCCTCCCTCCCTCCCTTCTTTCCTTCCTTCCTTCTTTCCTTCCTTCCTCCCTCCCTTCTTCCCTCCCTCCCTTCCTTCCTTCCCTCTTCAAAATCCTCCTTCCTCCCTCCCTCCTTCCCTCCCTCCCTTCCTAAGCCAAGATTTTCTCCCTCCTTTCCTCCCTCCTTCCTTCCCTCCCTCCCTCTTCAAAATCCTCCTTCCTCCCTCCTTCCTGCTGGGTTTGCCCAAAGGTAAACGGCAATCGTGGTTTTATCAGGCCCGTTTCCCCCACCCCCGCCCCCCCCCCCCCCACCTCCTTCCTTTCCCCCCCCCCCCCCCTCCCTCCCTGCCGCCTGGGCCCTCAAGTTCTGCAGGAGCTGCCATTGTCTCTGCCCGTGTTTGCTGGACGTACGAAAACAGTGTTTCTCCGACCTCCCCCCCCCACCCGCAACACAGACGCCCCTCTTCCATTGGAGCCCCTGTCCTGCGCATGAAAAGGAGCTTTCAGGGACCATCGGAGCAAGAGAGAGAGAGAGAGAGAAAGAGAGCGAGAGAGCTGCTTTGCCTGCTGCCACTCCCAGGCCCTACGGAGTTTGCGGGGGCCCGAGATGCCTGCACCGCCCTTCCCTCCCGCTACCAGAGACTGCGTGTAAATCATGTTTATAAGTTATGGGGAGGGGGGGGGGAAAGGTGGATCTTTTACAAATGGAAAAACAAAGCAACCTCAAAAGAGGAGCGGCTGCCCTCCTCTGCAAAGTTCAGAACGGCTGGTTTCAATAAAACTCATCTACAACACTTCCCGTCTGGTCCTTCCCTCGTCTTTCCCAGGATGAGAAGAACGTTTTGGACTTTCTTAAGGCAGCGGGAGCTCTGAAGCTCTTCCAAAGAGGGGAGAGGGCAACCCAGGACGATCTGCGCAATGACATTCACCCTCTGGAGCGCCGTCCTATGTGCCCCTGTGCCATGGGCAAACCCTACACAGGTGTGCAGGAAGTTAAGGTGCTCTCTATGGTGGTAGAAGGTCACCAGCAGTTTTTCATTCAGTTGTTGTTTTCTGAGAGGTCTCAGCTAGTCTAATCTCTGCTGGGCCCTTTTGACCAGGGCTGCAAGGTGAGCCCCCTCAGGTCAGGTCCTTTTTTAGGGTAACACCCAGAAACTTAAAACTGGCCACTTGCTCCCCTCGGTCTCCACTGATAAGCGAGGGCTGGGTGTCTGATCTGTTCCTTCTATAGTCCACTATAAGCTCCTTAGTCTTATTGGTGTTGAGGACCAAGTTGTTGTCTCCACACCACAAAAGCAACCAGTTCACCTCATCTCGGTAGGCAGACTCATTTCAACCCACCCCCCGCCCCGAGATGAGTCCCACCACTTGTATCATCTGCAAATTTAGCAATAATATTGCTAGCGTGAGTGGGAATGCAGTCATGCACGTAAGGAGTATAGAGTAAGGAACAATTACTATAGAGTAATTTTTCAAAAGGCAGCTGGACTTCCTTGTGGGTTTTTTTTCACCTTTTAATAAAAGTTTTTTTTTTTTTTTTTTACACATCTCTTCACGTGAGCAACGTGGTTCCAGATTACAACATTTATGCATAGTCATAATTACATTTTCAACTTTCTTGATAAACATCACATCAAGGCATTATTCATTCCACTAATCTTTAGATAAGTTTCCATTTCATATTTCAATTCATTAGTTCAATATCAGTATCATTTCATCCTCACGTGTTGTGGCTCCGGGGAGTCGTAACACTCACGTATATTTTCAGTTCTTTATCCCCTATTATTTCCATTTTCAGCTTACCACCTATTTTATTTTACACTATACATCATCATCATCCTTAGCTTTCTCTAGGCCAGTATATAATAAACAATCTAAAAAGAGTAAAAATAAAATGAAACTAATATAATTAGGATCCACATGGTATATCCCCCAATCTACATCATATCTTATATTTATTAACCATTTCATATTTTTTCTTTATTTTCACTTAGCCAAGATTTACCTATATAATTTTAGTAAATTTTCATTCTCCTACTTTTAATCATAATAAAATACTTTCATTTTAAATACTTTGTATTCCAATATAATCCCTTTTTTTTCACCTTGAAGAAGTTTTGCTTCTCATCCAAGAAGCTTCTTCAGTTCTTTTTTTTTTATAACAAAAACCATCTTTCAGTTATATAGTGTGTCAGTTGGGTACATATATCTTGTGCATATAATAATATTGACATACATTTCTTATTGGGTTTACATTCACATTGTATTATAGTCCACATTATACATCCTCTTAAATCATGATTACATTGTCCTTAAGTTTTTATTTCAATTTCAAACTGTCCTTTAAAGCAAATCCCAAATCTTACTAAATTATTATATTAAAGCTTAATTCAAAAATAATCAATTTTAATATATATTAATATGATATCCTTTAATTTCTTACTCTATTTTCTAGCCATCCATAGAATAACTCCCAAATCTTATAATACTCCTTTTCTTCTTGTTCTCTAATTGCTAATATTAATCTATTCATTTCTGCACATTCCATTTTGAAGCTTCACTTCTGAGGGAACTTCTGACTGACCTGATTTCTTCCCTCAGAACTGAAAAAGCTTCTCGAATGAGAAGCAAAACATCTTCGAGAGAGAAAAAAAAACCCAAAAATCTAGTTGCCTTTTGAAAAAAAGCACCTTTGGGATAAGCTTTTTGGAACCCCGTGAAGATGGATGAACACCCCAAGTCCTATGCTTGACACACACATCCCCCAAAAAAGAATTCCCTGTTCAAATTTGACAGAATAGTAGCAAGTGAGAAAGAACGATGTGGGGTTAAAGGCCAACTCTGGGTTGGCTTGTCTTCAGATCCCACCGAAAACAAACCCTGGTTTAATTCCTGGCTTAGATAGTATCAAAGATTGGGAAGAAACAGTCAATTGGAGCTGAGTTTGAAGGGCGTCTTTTCAAGCAGGCCATCAATTTATATTCCGGAGCGGATAACTGGATCTCTTTATTTCATTATCCTTGGTTGGACTGGTGAAATAATATAATAAGATTGCCCTCCCAACTCACTTTCAAAATGTTTGAAATTCGATCAAAGGTAGAGTGCTAAACTTCAGATGGAAGCCATCCAGGTGATAAGCTAAGTAAAAAGTTATTGTGATCCAAGAGACAGGTCAAAATCCCGGTTGGCCGAGAGTGATTGTGTGTCAATGATTGTACAATGTCTTAGGTACACATCTTGTGCCTAAGTTCAACAAAGCCTGCAACGCTTGGTTGGCTTCAGCCCTTGGAGCTACAACGCTGCAAACACGTGTTGAATGAAGGCAAGTTAATCTGGTTAATTTAAGGGTCAGGCATCCCGAAAATGGACTAATCCTATTAGTACTAACCAGTGGGTTGGAGTAACCCTCTAGTGAAGCTTCTCTAGAGAGAACCAACCTGTAATTTTAAGGAGAAACTTAAGAGAACAATTAATCAGTGGAACAGCTTGTCACCAGAAGTTGTGGGTGCACATTTCTAGATCAATCCAAAGATCACTAAATGAACTGTTTTTAAATTGAGGACTATCTGTACCTAATTGGATTGAGCAAGGACCTGGTCCTTAGGTATGAGTGGTGGGTTTTACTGATAGGTGGCATCAACGCATCCTTTGAGGGCCGTTCTTGACTAACGTCCATTTAGCGAGGTCTGAAGTTACAACATCACTGAAAAAAAGGGCCATTTTCCGCACTTAATGACCGTTGCAACACACATACACACACATGGTCACGTGATTGAAATTTGGACTCAACCGACTCGTATTTATGACGGTGGCCATGTCCCAGGGAGTCACGTGAAACCCCTTCCCCTTTTGCAGTGGACAAGCAAAGTCAACGGGGAAAGCCCGATTCACTTAACAACCCCATGACTCGCTTAGCAACTGCAGTGATTCACTTAACAACCGGGGCAAGAAAGGGGATAAAATGGGGCAAAACACACTGAACTCCTGTCTCACTTAGCGACATAAATTTTGGGCTTCCTTGTGGCAGGAACTTGAGGCCTGCTACCTGTACCTTTGGACAAAACCCTTTTTGCTATCCCATTTACAAATCTGCAAGGCTGATAAGATCTGTTTGCCAAGATGGCACAGAGTGAAAAAATCTC